GTCCTTGTCAGGATGATTTAAATGTTTTATTTTTTTTACATATATACCTTTAAATCCTTATATTCATAATGTTCATTCATATTTTGTATAAATAAAAAAGTTCCAACTCTGTTGAAAAGTATACATGCCAGTAAGATGTGTTCATTAAATTTTTTTTTTTACTTTTATTTTATTATTTCTTTTATTTATCATTATTTGTATTTTTATTCCTGGTTTTGTTTTTGAAAAACTGAAAGAAAAAAAAAAGTAAGCACATGAAGCCCTAATTTTTAGACCTATATCTGCTGAGTTAATATTTTTTATCGTATCTGAAATTGATTATTTTACAGTAATTTTACCACGCAGCAATACAGCAATGTCTGTTAAATATCCATATAATATGATATAGGCCTATACGAGGGTCAAAACTGTAGCCATGACTAAATAAAAAAAATAAAATACCAAAACAGTCTCACTTGTAGTGAAGCAGATTTATAATCCAATCCTTTGAGATTTAAAGCTTAAATCAAGGTATGCAGTTTATTTTCAGGCTTTACGCATTTTTTCATCTTCTTCAAATCATTTAGGCACAAATCCGACTTTTTAGTCCAAAGAGCAACGATGGTAAAGAAAATGAGCCTGAAGAACAAAAATAAAAACTTCATTCCTTCCATAACCTGCAGCAAAATTAAACATTTCAATAAATATCCAGTAAAACAAAACGTCTGAAAACGAGAAACAAAAACAGATGTTGGAACTCTGCAGGGAGGCGTCCATTTAGTCCCGCATGTTTAGTCTCTGATTTCTGTTTGCTCTGCAGCGTCCGAGTCCGAAGTGGAGCCTTCCTCTTCCTCCTCATCCTCCTCCTCGTTGTTTTCCTGAGGGGCGCCTCCATCCTGGCTGACGGCCACGGCTCCTTTTCTCTGAGGGAGGATGGAGAAGAAAGCCTCCTGCCAGCCGCCCTTCTCAAGATACGCCAAGATGATCTCAAAAACTGTAGAAACGAGAACGTCCGTAAAAAACAAACCCGGATCCTTTGGACTCCAGACACCCGGAAAAGTTCACTTCCAATCAACTTCTTATTTCTGAGGGCTGCAATATGTTCATTTCTTTAAATGTACTTAGTGGAAATAATAAAATATTTTTTATCACATTAACTCCTTAAAGATCAACTAGAAAACACTTAGTTATAAATTTGATAATATGTACAAAAAAATACATCACAAGTGAAAAAATGTCCAACATTTTTGTTGTTTATAGCATAAAATAATTCACTAAGATAACAGACGACCCAAAATTCCTCATTTGGTCACGTGACCCACTGAGGGATGCCGTGACGTCACTTTAGTCAGGAAGTAGTCATTTAACACAGCGAGTCAATATTAAAGGGAAGATTAGACTTCTTCAAACACACACATCAAATGTCGCTTGGGTCTGGTCACGAACCAGTTTTGCTGGATGCTTCTGCACCGTCGATCTGGAATTTCTAGGGACAGCAGTTTCCCGCCAAAGCCCTAGGGGGAGCCGATTAAAGAACTTGTGAGAACTTTAGCAGATGGTCACAAGAACTTTGTCGGCGCTGGCGGGAATTTTTATCTTTCAAAACAACAATGGTGCATCTCCAAGACATCAGGGTCATGGAGATCTAGAGTTGCTAGACATCGAAGAGGAACATGTCTAGAACACGTTAATGATGTTCGCAAAAAGACCGATTAACCTTTCGTCGTAGTTGTCCATTGTAGTTGTTGCTCGGTTTTTAAAAATGGCGCGCCCCGAATCGAGAAGGACGACCACACAGACAGCCGGAAAGGCATACAAAGGACCAATCACAGCTGCTTTTCGTTTGCGCTAATCCGCTTGAGGTCTTCGCGGGTTCGCGATGGCTCGACGCAAACCCTCGTCGGACACGATTTGACGGCTTCAGAAGCTATGCGTCAGAAACATAAATTGGCCTTTATTTACCTTTGTGACAGAGTTTTTATCCTTTTTATTTGAACTTTAAGCCCAGAGGCTCTTAGGAGCAAATCTGCCTGAAATTACACGTGAATTAAAGCAAGTCCAGCTTAGCCTCGTGAGACCATCCTGATCTCGCGAGCTTTCAA